AAAAAAATGTTTTCTTTTTAAAGCAATAAAATCTATACATAATGTGACCAACCGTACTTTTTTCGAAGTCAGTACTTCTTTTTTCGCTCTTGTACTTCGTACTTCGAAGTACAGTCAAATGTATTCTTTGCGTTTCTGGGAATTCAACCAGTTAGCGACAATTTTCGGATCGCTATCGCACTTTTTGACCGATGATATAAATGTTTTTGCGTCAAAAAGTGCGATAGCAATTCAAAAATTGTCGCTAACTGGTTATAGAATCTCTCCCCACGTCCTGTACTTCTCCGATCATCTGAACGATCGTCACATGGCCTGGGCGATAAATTCGTTCAAACCATTAAAGTCGCTGGGGACCGATGGCATCATATCTGAGCCGCTGCAAAGGGCTCTGAAGGTGTCGTGCAATTGGTTGGATCCTATTTATACAAACTGAGTGAGTTTTTTTTTAAGTTTTATTGATTCAAAAATTCATATGTTTTATTTTATTTAACGTTTGGAAACTTTTTTGATTCATCTTTTTTCTTTTACTTTCAGTTTCTAAAATTTTTAGTTTTTCCTTTCGTTTAGTTTTTAGAAAACTTATTGCTAAGCGATAAATATAATAACACTATTAGCACATCTGTCAATTAGTTATTCGAAATACAGAAAAGGGCTTTCAAGATAGTTGCCGAAATATAAAGGCTTTTGTCTCTCGAAAGACTGAGGTGAGGTGAGTTGAAAGGCAGGTGCCAGAATTGGCCTGTTATTGGTATTGTTTGTCTTTTAGCAAACAATTTAATTAAACTAAAAAAAAATGTTTTCTTTTTAAAGCAATAAAATCTATACATAATGTGACCAACCGTACTTCTTTCGGAAGTACAGTACTTCTTTTTTCGCTCTTGTACTTCGTACTTCGAAGTACAGTCAAATGTATTTCTTTGCGATATTTTGTACTTCAGGAGGGAAATTCTGTAACCAGTTAGCGACAATTTTCGGATCGCTATCGCACTTTTTGACGCATGATATAAATGTTTTTGCGGTTTTGGTAAAAACCTTGGGATTTTTCCACAACATTCTTGAAGAAAATACCTAAATACAAAGAAATTTTGGCAAAAGTCTACCGATTTTTTTTTAATTTTTTGCAGGGAAATTACCTGCAGAGATTTAGCATAGATACAATTTAAGGATTTTTAATATTTTTAAGTGGAAAGTACTTTCAGTGAACATACTTATGTATATTGTTTGCCTGTGTTACATAAATCTAAGGTCACATAGCTAATACATTCGCTCATAGCAAGTGTAGACACTGTGCAAACGATAGTGAATTCTTTTTCCTCAGAGACCAGTTCAACATACAGGGTATTATTATTTTCATTCACAATAAAGTATAATAATTCGGGTATTCACAACGGTGTCGTATTGTTGTATGTCGTAAACTTGAAACGTCTAAAAAATATATTAAGGGGGTTCGCAAAGTACTATCAAAGTCATATTATGAATTCTTGCAGTGTTACAAAATAGTTGGTTGTCGTTTCAAGTTCTCTAAACATTTATTTGAGCTTTTAAAGTTTACCACATATAACAATACGACAGTTACGACAGCGTTGTGAATCCCTCAAATATCACCAAAGAAAGCACAATTGGAAGAAAATCCAACGAAACAAAAACAGTCGAGTGAATACAGAGCAGTGAAAATACAGAGCAGTGGAAATGGAAGATCATGTTCCACTTCAACAAAACCGAAACAGAGAGACAAGCTCGAGAAATGTGGAAACGGAAAACCAAATGAATCTCAACTTCAGAAAAATCGTGTGAGAGCTTCAATTTCTAGAGACGCTGAAATACTAGAAAAACGAGAGTCTCGCCTCCAACAAAATCGTGTGAGAGCCTCAACCTCCAGAGATTCTGAAAATCTCCAACACGCGGACTCGCTGCTGAACGGGAAGGTGTGCTGATTCCACGTATACCGATGATTTGATATTGCCTTTGCAATAACTATAAATAAAGCCAAAGGGCAATCATTAACTATCGCGGGTTTGGATTTGAAAAATTCGTGCTTTTCACATAGCCAATTATACGTCGCCTGTTCACGAGTTGGGACACCAAAAACTTTATATGTTTACATGCCAAATAAAAAGAACTAGAAATCTGTTTTTCTTTGGCGTAGCAACGCGCGCCGGGTGTTATCATAGGACAACAAAAATGTTTACGCTATATGTATTTGACATATTTCAATGAATGTTGGTATTATGGGGTTTTCGTTATCACTGATTTCGAAATATATATTAAATTTTCAAAATTCAAAATGGTGGATCCAATATGGCGGACGATTTTTTTTTAAATTAAACAGGTCCTCAAAAAAAATCGATGAAAGGTTCCTTTGATCAAACCTAGCCTATTATATGTTTTTGGGGTCGCTGAGCACGAATCTGAAGTCCACTTTGCTCCATCGCTTCTAGATTATTTCCTAACCTCAAAAAACACCTAGAATTTTCTCAGTCACGTAATGATTCGTGTTCAGCGACCCCAAAAACATATAACAGACTAGGTTTGGTCAAAGGAACCTTTCATCGATCTTTTTGTTGTGGACCTGTGTTATTGATTGTTATACAACTTTGTATCCAGAGGCATTCAGCGTCGCTGATCTCGAAACTGTCACTAAATTTTCAAAATCCAAAATGATGGATCCAATGTACCGGATGACTTTTTTAAAATAATTATGGATGGTAATGAAACTAAGAACTCTCGGAGTCACTAATTACAAATTTAATATTTGATTTCCAAAATTCTAACAACTATATATGTATGTATTAGGGCGGGTCGAAAATTTAATTTTTATCAAAAGTCAACAACAAGCCTGCAAAATATTAGTGTTTTATTTTAGTTGTAAGAGCCCGCGCATCGACCGCCAAGTGACCCACAGCACCCTAGTGAAATAAGATCAATTCTTGATAAAAATTCTGGGTTCAGCAAAAAGTTTTGTTGCATATTATTAGATAATGAATTCGTTTACCCAAAATAAAAAGTCAAATTTCATTTCTCGCAGCCCTTTAGCTTATCGTTAATCTCAAAGTTAAATTACAATAATATATGAATTGTTCCCTTGATAACTGCACTGACCTAGAGTCAAAAGATGTAAAGAACAGCATTAATATTGCTGGCGTGCATTTAGATCTCTGGTTCCAAATATTTTAATCCTTTTTTAATATTAGCTATAATTTGCGATTTTTTGCAAATTTAGGGACAATTTCGGTAACTCTAATAGAAAAGCCATTATTTTCCATCATCGTGGAAAAATTTTGTTTATGCAAATGAGTATGAGAACACTGAATAGGCACAACTTCTAGAAACACTAATTAGTTTACTAATGTTTAGGCATACAATATAAAAATTGCAAATATAAGAAAATGACAAAAAATTTTGTTCAAAATTTCTTTTATTTTAAAATAATTTGTTTATAATCTGAACGATTTTAATCAATTTATTACCAAAAATCAGTAACATTAAGTATCGTCTTCAATTTGGTAATTATTACGCACCGATCGAGTAGCATTTACCAAAGTTATATCGAAAAACTTAAGTGGATCTCCAGTTTTTTATAAAAAAATTTCTCTTCAATTGTATAAATAACTTTTAGATGATAGAACCGGATTACAGAAAAGTGTGCCAGGGAGTGACTTTTTTCGTTCAAGCTAAATGCAAAGCAATATCGTCCAATTGGAGAGTCCTCAAAAGGATTTCCCAGGATATGTTAAAGACTATTGCATTTACCTACAGTCAATTTTCACATAATGGAATTAACTAAAATATTTATGTATATCTAAAAACTTATTGCACATCCCCTACTTTCATATAACGGCAGATTTAGAAACCGCGAAAAATTTTCAAGACTGCATAAATGGACTTAAAACTTCTCACCCTAATGGTATTATGTTAATGTATGTATATGTATACTTATATGCTGGAAACTACTATTAACTTATCAAACGATTCCTAATCTTTCAAAATACATGTTTGACCTCATTCACCACGATCTTGAAAACTGACCAAATCTAAATATAAACATTCGAAAACATTACAACGTTTGAAATAAATCTCGTTTCACTTTTTTGAATTTTTCACTTGGTTGCTGAAGTAATGAAGAATTGAAAATTCATAAGGGAAATTAAAGTTTTTGTAAGTTTTATCTTAATATCTTAAAAACTTGTAAACTTATTGAAAAATGATNGATCTTAATACTTGTTAACTTGTAAAACTTGTAAACTTATTGAAAAATGATAAATGAACGTGAGATACTAAATTTAATAACCCTTAATTTGATATATCGTCCTGTTTAGAACAATTAACGCATTCCATAGATATTACAAGCCAAAGTTTAATTTTGAAAATTCATACACTTTGATTCAATTGCGCGGGCTAAAGATAAGTTGTAAATTAATCTTTCGTGGCCAATAACAATTGGCTTAGACCTAAGACANGCAATTAACACATTCAATAGATATTACAAGCCAAAGTTTAATTTTGAAAATTCATACACTTTGATTCAATTGCGCGGACTAAAGATAAGTTGTAAATTACTCTTTCGTGGCCAATAACAATTGGCTTAGACCTAAGACATCATAATATTANCCGTGACCAATAACAATTGGCTTAGAGCTAAGACATCATAATATTACTATTACAATACGGTTAAATGCCTTTTATTTTCCCTCATACAAAATCGACCCAGCCTAATGCTTATGTTGCAATGAAGTCATAACAAAAAATTACAATAAAACTATTAACATTAAAGGTAGCTTTTATTTAGAAAAGAGCAAATAAGTTCAAAGTTTTTCTTTAGATCAAAAGTAAAACAAATAAAAAATCACTGAAAATTCACGTCTGTTTTTATTTTAACTTTTTTATACTTTATTGCATTTTTCCTGACTTTTTTTCGGATTTGAGTAGTGCTCTTGCCGTCGTAGCCAAGTGCTTAGACGTGCCTATTGCAACTTCTAGTTCCAGCAACATCAAAAAGGAGTTTTCAAATAGCGGTCGCCCCTCGGCAGACACTGGCAAACCTCAGAGTGAACTTCTCCCATAAAAAGCTTCTTCGGAGCTGGAGTAAGAGTGTAGATCTCTCAATTTACGGGTTTTTACCTTAAAATGAAAAAAGCCTTGAAAACTTCGAAAAACCCAAAACATTTATTAAGAGGTTAGTGCAATAAAAAAAATCCGGTCTATTCGATATTCGAAAAATCAAGATTAAGAAAAACGCTTATTGATATCAGAAAAAAAAACGGTGGAAACCGGCTTTGAAAAATCGAGTCAATCACCCGACAATATATCTAAAATGGCGTATTTTTACTAAATGTAGATACTTCCAAATTAAAAAGGCACTCAAAAAAGTATACCTACTTTTCCATCACTGATATGTATGTGCTATATACATATGCATATACCCATACATAATTATGTAGATATCTGTGCCTATGTCCCTTTTTAACAATCGTTTTTTCTTTTTTAATTGAAAATGGTGCATATATATCACATTATAAAAATAATTTCATGGTTAAATAATGGCCTTCCTTGTTAAAAAAAAAAATTGACTTCCAAATGACCTTGCTCCCAAAAAAATTTCGCAACTGTGGGAATTAATTTAAATCATAAGCTCTGAGGAAACCAAAATATTTTCTTTTTTCGCATATGGCGGCACATACATATGCATAGATTTACATATATAGATACTAAATACATATAAAAACATGTGTATTAAATTATACATACATATGTAGTATATCTAATTGCTGGTATTTGGCGCCGAGCATTCCCATAGTAAATGGAATTTCGTTTATGAGAACAATTTTTGCGTCACTTTAAAATATTTTGAATTATTTTTAGAATGCTCACGCTTTCAAAAGTAAACTATACCTACGCACATACTACTAAGTAGTTACATATATGTATACAATTTTAAACGTGCATGTGGAAGCTGTTGTATAGCATAGTTGTGCAAGAATGTCCTACGGAAGGTACTATCAATGACCTTTTATCATGCTTAAGGTCATAATCTCCAGGTATGTATGTGTGTATATCATTGCGCCGCCACACAGGCTGTATATAAATTTGTAGTGGCACGAGTAGACCACCAAAAGGCAAGAACAAGGTGACATTGACATAACCAATTCAATCGAAGAGGAGAAAATGCGTACGTACATATCTAAGGATATATATATGTATGGATATGGATATACTTACATACATATGTACCAAAATATAAATATGCATATTTGTAAATACATATTTATATATGTTTGTACTTAAATATGTATACACTCTCAACCTAATTATTACAATTGCAACTTTTAGTAGCGATTATGAAATTGCCGGTATTATGTTTTAACGGTTTAAATTGAGTTTGTATGGGAAAAGGTATATTAATTATTGTATTGTAATTTACTTACTGCCTAAAATACTGCCGCTTGCAGGAACTTCGTTGGCCATTTTTAATTTTGCACTTTATTTCCTATAAAGTTGTTTTTTCAGTAGGTAATATTTAAAAAATGCGTTTTTATACCAAACTTTTCTAATAGAAAATTCGTCACTTCCTTAAAATATTCAAGCATCCTCTGAATGCAACTTTATTCATTTCTTTTTCACTGACTTCGAATAGTTTCACAAACTCCAACTAGCTGCCAACCAACAGTGGAGCTCTTTTTCGTATCCCGGTTTCCCGTCAATGGCGGCAAGTTAGAAGCTACACGCGCGACTGCTATACACAAACTGAGTGGTCTCTCTGTGGCGCGCCCAAGTTTTTGTTTGGTAAATTGTACGAGAATCTCCAGACAGCGGCCGGCCGGTCGGCAGCTTTGCCGATTCGCTGCTGCCTAGCTGTGATAACTGCGCGGGAGCTATCTTTTACGCCTTCGCCGCTACCTCCACTTCCAACATCAACAAACAATTTCAAACAATGTTATAACTTCTTTCCCTCCCGTACCCCTCCACTTTCTGATGGTTCAACGCTTTTTTGAATATTTGGTATCTGACAGTTCCGGCGTCACAACAATTTGATGTTGGATAGCTGCGCACACATATGTACATTGTACCTATATGGATTTATATATAAGTATATGTATGTTTATACCCTGCAGGAAATTGCGCTAGTTCAGAACTAGCTCATTAAGAGGCGGTGCTGGTTCTCGATCTATCCCAACGCAATGCTATCAACTGTCTCTTTTTACATGGCGATGTTCTACGAAGTGGAAATTGTCACCTCTACAGAACTTTGGAACTAGTTCTGAACTAGTGCGATTTATTTTATGAGGAAAAATTTTTAAACCAAATTACTGGATATTTTTTCTTTTCTGAACTTTTTACGTTTTGGACAGATCTGCGACAATACGTTTTTTATGAAAAAAATTTGATTATCAGAATTTTTGATATTTTTTAATTTTTTCTGTTCTTTTACAGATCGCATTTTATTTACTTTTTTTTATTCTTTTAATTTATTTGTATTAAATTTGATCATTTTCTCTTAAGCGGAACTCAACAATTTAAATTTATTAAATCTGAAAATTATAACCGCCTCCACCGCGATTTGAACTCGCGACCAACGATGTTGGAGTCGGAGGTCTTCCCTCTGAGCTATTTTAGTATTGTACGAGAAGTGAGAATTTGTGCATTAACTTCTCTACAGAGCGCAACTAGCAAACCAAAAGTTTCCCTCTCTGCAGCCGTTTTGGACTAGAATGAAACTAGTTCATAGTTTTTCTCTTTTTACTTGTAAAATAAACATTTCTAAAATAAATCGGCACTACACACGTTAAAGGCCCGCTAGTCTTTTGACGGCGAAAAAAGGCGCGTAAAAAAATTTTGCGAAAAAAGATGCTTATGAAAAACTTCGGCGAAGTATGTTAAGAGTCTTTGACGCTGAAGTTTTTTGTATGCGTCGTTTTTCGCCGTCAACTTTTGAGCTTGCGCCTTTATTCGTGTCTAGTGACGAAATGCATTTTTTGATTATTTTTCGGTTTTTGTCTTTTTTAGTGCCTTCTTTTGCCTTTATTGCAATTTCTGGTGTCTTTTCCTGCCTATTTCGCCTTCTTTTCTTTTGCCATTTTTATAGGTTTTTAGGTCCTAAAAATAATGGATGTAATGGATAATGTAAATAACATACTTTTCAGGTGAGTGCGTGTCAAAAAGTCCGTTGGTTTACACTGCAAACATATTAAACATTTTATAAATCGGTCAATACACATATACCTACACAAGAACCGCATTAACAAAAAACCGATTATACTCAACATATATTTTTTTACAGCATTTATACCCCTGTCTTTATAGCGCACTCGATAAAGTCGTATGTAAAAGTCATATATGTAATACTCACGATTGAGAGAATACAAAGGTTGCGCCGATCTCGGACCGCTATTCCTCTCTTAACGAATTTGACAGAATAGTTGTTTGCATGACGTCACACTGGTGCAACTTGTTTACGTTTTCCTTGCAACATTTTTTCTTCTTCTTCCATTCTTGCTCACGTTTTGGCATTTCTCTCTCGCAATTGCACCAGTGTGACGTCACACAAAAGTTATTCTCAAAAATCCTCTCTGATCGGCGCAATCTTGTATTCTATCATTCTTGTGTAATACTTCTATATTGGCAGTAAGCTATCTTCTCAATGTGTAAGCATTCCGAAATCAAAGCGAGACAGTCTAGTACCGTTTTTATACCCGAGCGCACTTGTGCACAAGGGTATTATAACTTTGTTCACATAACGGTTGTTTGTAACAGGCAAAACGAATCGAGATAGATATAGACAAATGTATACATAAATGATCAGAATGAAAAGAGAAATCGATTAAGCGGTGACTGTCTGTCCGTCCGTCCGTCCGTCTGTGCACACGAAAACTCGAGTAAAAATTGAGATATACATGCATCGGTCGTAGGACGGATGGTATTGAAAATGGGCGAAATCGGACAATAACCTCGCCTAC